CCCCCCCCCCCCCCCCCCCACACACACACACACACATCCACATACAAGTGTACACTTAAATAAACGTAACTGTGCTAATTAAATATCGCGAACATCATGGAACGTCGCGAAAAAATGAGGCACTCCCTCGACCGAGATATTCGCATTATAATGTCAGTGACTGTAAAATCTGAAAGAGAAAGGGAAAAAGAGCTTTTTAATTTGACTTCTGAACGGATAGATTACATTGTGATATGCGAAAAGAAGCACTTAGTAATTTAATTGAATAATTCAATAATACTTAAAAAATAACGATACTTAAAAAAAAAAAAAATGTCATTTACAATGTAATGATTCTTTAATTGTCAACTTCAACTTATCAAGCATTTATCTTTTAAGTAATTCTCGTTAAGTGGCTATACACCGAGTGATTACCAACTGTTTATTATTTGATGTCTCATTACGAAGAGTTGGGGCAGAGGGGGTGAATCCGCGAATAACGCCGGCGATAAGGCCGGCGTGAGAATAAATCAGAGCCTCGCCTACTAACTTGGACAGTTGCATCGTTATTTTTAGACGTTTCGCGCCTTTTCGCGGGCGAGACGACGTGCTGGCCTCGGGCCAGACTCGACTGGGGGATTCATATGTCCGAATGCATCAAACACACGTGGAAGCGGCCGCCTGCCTGACCGCACGTGCATAGGTGCGCGCGTGCGAGGCTGACAGACGTCTCGCTTTTCTTCCTCGTGCCACGAGTGTCTCCTTCCGCTTGTCCTAGTTTATGAGCCTGGGCTGAAATGTTACGGCACCTATGGAACGCTGCCAAAAAGGGCATGCACGCTGGAAGATGGGAGCTCTAACTGAATAGCGCTGATTGAATTTTTTTCTTTAAATGGCACACAGTTTAACGTGCGTCTCTTCACGACGCTAGGTGTATCGCACGAATGGAATCTCTCATGACAGTTTCGATAACATCGAAAAATTAATTTATAAGCGTATTATTTTATTGTCAAAAGCCGATTCTATTACGCCATTGCATTTAGAAACTTTATACATGCATTAATATGCATATTAAAAATATGAAAATATATTTAATACAACTTCAATGCAATGTGACTGATAAAATTATTGTCAGTTAGAAATGACAAAAAAAAAGTTTAATGAGTAAACGTATATTTTAATGTAATACTTATTGTTAGTATATTTTTTCTTCAAAGACCAAACAGTGTCATCTGTCAAACTCTCGTTATTACGCCATAAACGGGAGAAGCGCACGAAGCTGCGTGACGTCCTTGCGTGCATACAGCAGTCTTGCGGCTTATGAAGAACGTAAGATCGTAACACAAAATTACCGATAAAACTTGATACGGAAGGAGGGGCTGGCTTCTTATTGAGTTCATTATAGTCGACGAAAGTTATAATATGAAGCACGTGATGTCGGCGAGATTTTTCCTCGTAAACTTTTTGATTGGCAAGAACATCACAATGTCCGCGAGATCAATCGAATTCGTGGATTTTACGACCGAAGAAACGGATTGAGAGAACTTTTGACGCGTGGCAATCGCGACTCGGAAAGTACACAGAAACATTGAGTACATAATACGTTAATAACGACTTATTGCGCTTTATTACGTATGAATCACCTCGACGAGAGAATTGACTTAATAAAGATAAGATAAACTGCTCGGCGGATGCGAAATGATCGTTGCGATGGAATTATACTACGAGACACGAACGGGTTAGAGCTGGGAGAAATAGAGAGTAGATCTCTCTTTCTCCCTCTTTTACATGCGCGTGAATACGACATCGAACCATTACGGAAGTGCCCTTGTCGAGATTGTTCGCGGTTGCATCCGTATGAGGAATCCGGACCAACCGGATTTCCATCAATTGTGCCAGGCGCCGAGAATGGCATAGTTTTCAGAAACGCCCACGGTTTCGTATGTCATTCAGAACGCCTCCTCGGCCACATGGTCTCGAAAAAAAACTTGCTGTCAAAGGCTGTCCTTCGCTTTTACGACCTGAATTATTGCCGTGTTATAGTAATTCTTATTGATTTTTTCCTGTAGGGGACTTTTTCTAATTCTTTATGATTTTTTTCCTTGGAGAGATATTATGCCTTATTATAGTAATTTAAATTTTGTTTACGTAACAGAATTTACAATCAAGAGTTTTTCTGATTATTTTTTTACATTATTTATCAATTGTTAATTCATTATTTATATTGTTACAATTTTGTATGTACATTTCAAACTGAGATATTTATTCTATCACAATTTCGCGACCGCGAGAATTTTGAGATAAATATTATCACACATATTCGTCAATGTGCGATTTCAGGAGGAAGACTTGCTCGATTGCATCATATGTCGATTATATAATTTTATATTCATTTCATATTATTTATAGCAATTGAAATATGAATTTTTATTTATCCCTCCGAACGGTTTAATCACCAACATTATTTTCGTAATGATGCATTTTGTGAAAGACTTACTAATGTCAATTGCTAGATTTTTTGGTAAAAATTTTTCATGAACATATTGCGTACGAACCATGTATTTTAAGCTAATTTTTTAAAATGTTTCATTTTTGCAATGGAGGAATATATTTGCACTTTGTTATACAAATTACATTACTAATAGCATTATGCGCGTAATGCTGTTAATAGCATTATGCATATTATTGCATAATGTTGTTTACTGCATCATGCTAGCGTGACATTTATGTGTTTATGCTATTTACGAGGTGTTGTATATTGTTTAACGTACAACATAACATCTTCACGCTCATATCAGTGATTTAATAAATGAATTCATCAATTCTGTTACAGAAGACGAAGAGGGAGACGAAGTAATTATTGATGTAGTGTCGGTCAAATCTGCCAAAAAACAAGTATCGTTCGCAAAGCAAGTGAAACATTTTGAATATCAAGAGGCTCAGCGCAAAGTAAAACATGAAGACTCGGATGAAAACGAACTCCCGGAACCTTTCATCTCTCGACGGCCACGTGGTAGACCACCAGGTTCCACAAAACGGAAAGCCAATCGATCTGGTCCTGCTCCGAAACGTGTCCGTATTCAGAACAATCTACAGTTAAATTCTCCACAACAGCCATCATATCAGTGTCAAAATTCGATGCGACAGTGTGCATTACGGCGAGATTCGTTTGAAGATACGGAGAGGAGGCGGCTGCATAACGATATGGAGCGACAACGGCGAATAAACATGAAGGAATCATACGAACAGTTAAGAAGAAACGTGCCAGCGGTTGCGTGCAATGACAGGGCGTCGAAGGTGTCCATCTTGAAGCAAGGGACAACGTACATAAGGTCTCTAACTGAAATTGGTAACACTTTAAAGACTAATGCTGCACACCTGAAGCAGCAGAATGAGATGCTCAAAAGAAGACTCCAGCACTTACGCAATCTTTCTTCAGTTTCTTAGAAAATTAAATTTAAAGCGATACTGCACATCTATCTGATTCTTTGTGACGCATATATGACATCGACGCATAAATTAACCCTGGAATACTATTGTGGGTGAAATTTCACTCAAGCGTTAATTCAGGTAGTATAGTTTTTGTTAATTTTTGTAACACAAGAGAACTCGATAATATTGTTTAACGTTAAAATTTATTTATTTTTTGTATATATAGTGATAATTTAGTTATTCTATATTTCGCAATTTGTAAAAACATAAAAAATCTAAAAAAAATTCTTAATTATGTGGGTGAATTTTCACCTAGAGTAGTGTTAATATAAGAAAAATATAAGCAGTAGGAGCATTCCAGGATTAAATGCGTGAGATCTATTGTAAATATCTATTGTAAAATCATAAAATCGCGGTCAAAGACAAATTCGTTTTCATATGTATCCATTACAATGATAAAATTGACTCGTGACCAATCAGAAATCTTAAATCTTAAAAATTAATATAAAGTTATTTGTATATCGATTAACTTTTTTACGTCTGGAAAAATTTCAGAAAAAAGACATCTTTATACTGGTTTTTAAGATTTGAGGATTAGATCACGATTTTATAAAACGGAAAGAAGTTGATTGGTACACAATATAATGATATTGATATTAGGTCTAGTAGATTGATATTAGCGTTTTTTTCATGAAAAAAATCGAAATAGGTTTTTGATTTTTGTATGAATTATGTTATCTGTCAATTTTCTATATCTTATTGCACTCAAGAAAGAAATTGTATTGTTGAGTCTTATTGCGAGATACGTTAAGATAGAAAACCTTTCGGGTATGAAATAAGCATGAGGCAATAAAATACAAAACAAAGAGAGCCTAATCAAGAGGATGATTTGATTAATGGAAATATGAGAAACGGGAAGGATATATAGAAAATATGATGAATACTTAGTTCTAATTATGATTTTTAACTGGTTACGTTCAACAGAAAAAGGTTTGCAACTGTTATAAAATTTTTTTAATATTGGTCTTACCTAATCTAATTATCTAAATGAACCAATTATTAAAAAAACCTTATAGTTGCTTTTTTCGCTGAATACAATCATTATATCGATAGAATGAAGCAAAATGCTGCGCGTAGATGCCCAATACGCACGAGCTATTTCTATCTACGTTGCTTGGCTGACTCATTCATCTCACTTTCCTACTACTCTAACTAAGCTGTGCCCGAAAGCGGTTACTTAACCTTTACCATAAATTGCTAAAAGAAACCTGAGTGGGGCGTCTTCAAGGTCGAGGAAACTTTACTTTAGAAGACCATTCTTTCTCAAAAATCAAAACGAAAAAGAATGAAAAGAGAAAAAAAATTATGAATGATCTTCAAATCGGGTAATAATTATCTATATTATTACTACCCTAACGTAGAGAATGGACTCAAATAGAGAATAACTACTTTAAGTGCAATAAGGATTTAATTGTAAGATCCAAACTTTCATTGATGCAGAAAAATGTCTTTTGTTCTTACAGATAATTTCTTATTTCTTATTCCTGGCTTTTTTTTCTTTTTTGTGCTTTCCTATTTACAAAATATATAAAAAGAGTAGTTAGAACTGAGTCAGTCCAAAATGCACTCTAATTACATATTGATGTATATAAAAACAGATATTTTTATTTTTAAACAAATAATAAAAATTTATTTGAAAAAATTGAAAAAAAATTGATGAAACAAATTGATTAGTTATTATTTGAATGATTATAATATTATAACTGAACATAATTCATACAAAAATTGAAATTCTTTCCGATTTGTATATAGATTGATTAATACAATAATTGATATGATTAATCAAATTTTTAGTCTAATGTTGTGTCTATTCAGCGATTTGTTTTCCTCTCTTCGCTGATGCTTTTTCGTGACTTGTTAATACTAACAAGTTATAATGCATTTCAATCGATTTTTTGTCAAATTTTTCTGAATTTTTGCATTAATGGATTTTTCGTTTTATCTGTTTAAAATTAATTCTGTCACATTTTGCTGTCAAATTATTTTAAAAAATTGATAAAAATTTGATTATAAAATTGAACAAAATTGACAAAAAATTGATTAGTTATTATTAGAATAACGATTGAAAGAAAATAAATTATACGGAAATCGAAAATTAATCATATTTATGATTGAATCAATAGAGGAATTTTTCACGATTGCTGCCAATCAAAAGAGTAATATGATTGGTATCCAGACTAGCTTCTCTCCGACTAGCTCGATCGAAGATTTTTTTTCGATCTCATTTCTAATATCGCTTCTTTTCAAAGATTCGCTTTTCGCTTCTTGCTGTCGTGCTTTCGCACGACTCGTTGACGCCGACGAGTCATCGGGAGAATGCATTTTAATTTCCATCGCGCAGATAAAGCGAATCGTTCAAGCAGTCGGAGGAGGTCTTATCACGTTATTGTCCAACTTGACTACCGGTTCCCAACCGGTTCATTTTAGGGCGTGCTTTGAACTCGAGTTGAGTCGGTTTTAATTGCTCTTTACACATATTTTCATAAGTAGAAGAGTAGAAGAAAGGGAGAAAGGTGAACAACACGCGTGCTTCGATTGTCGACAACTACCAGTTCTTATCCCAAATTTAATAAAAAAATAAAAAAAGAAGAGTGGTAAAGAGTCATGCGAGTTCTCGCAGAAAGAGAGTCGTCCTTCATGCTTTAATCGATTGATATCGACACGCTAGAACTCGGACGTATTTTATTTGCGAGACATTGCAATTCTGATTATCACGAATTATACGATTCATGAGTTAGCATTGGTTCAATTTACTGAAATTTAATTCGAAATTAATGTGCGGGTTAAGCTATTTTCAAATAGCAAAAAGTGTTTTTTCTGATAGAGAGAGTTATTTTCAGAATAGTAGACACTTCTCTCTCTCTCTCTCTCTCTCTTTAATTAAAAGTTTCAATCTCAGGTCTTTCCCACACTTACAATTAATCACTTATCTATAGCACTCATTTATACAATTCACTCTATGTATACAATTAGTGCTCAATTTAAACATGAGTAATGAGTGATGCTTTTTCTTCTTTTATCCTTTTTTGCGACTTTCCTACGAAAAAAAATGATCTCCTGAGCTAGAAGTTTCCTCGATTTTGAAAACGCCCCATTTAGATTTCTTTCAGCAATTTATACTAAAGATTGTGGCCGTTTTCGGACACAACTTGGTTGTAATAAGTAGGAGAGCGAGATGATGAGTCAGCCAAGCTACGTAGGTAGAAATAGCTCGTATGCGCATTAGGCATCTATGCGTGGTACACTTCGCTTTGTTGTCATTCTAACGGTATAATTAAAACGCTGTGCGTACATAAATAAATATCGAACAATAAGATAACGATAAAGGAAAAAACGGTCGCTTTTCTCAAGATGGGTATATATTTCCAAGTACCGAATAAACAGTGAATTTGAACATTTGTTGTTATCATTTAGCATATATATAGGTACGCCAAAGAAAATACGAATTGAGCATTTGGCTTAAGCCAAATCAATTAATTCCCTCATGAGGCGGTACATCAAAAATAATTCGTGCGCGATATGTGCGCGATGTAACGTGCAAAGAAAGTAAATAACGTGTTCGCTGTTCGCTTCTTGAACGATAATTTTTTCCAAGGCAACTTAATTAACCTGGCCTTAATCGAATTCTATGTTGCAAGCTATTGAAGATATCTATAAATATTAAGAAAAGGATTGTCTCTCAATAAGCTAGCTAATGACTTTTTTTTACGTACAAGTGTCACACAAGTACACAACTTCAAATTACTACATGTAAACACTGGATTACATCGAATCTGATCGAATACTGATGTTCGATGCTTGTTTGATATTAGCGAGAAAAAGAATAAACTATCTGCGAGCACGAATTTGAATATCTTAATGATCGCGTTCGCTATTCGTTCGGTATTCATTCACAGATGTACCTAGCTTTGTTATATATAGACGATTCCAAGCGACAGGATATATAAGCCACGCATAGAATTATATCTTTTGCTGCTCTCATTTTTATTATAGTTAGAATTAAATATTAATCATTTTTTCTATATATCTTTTCCATTTCTCAAATTTCAATTTTTTTATTAACTCTTCGTTTGTCCGCCTCGTGTCTATTTTTCACTTTCTCACCCGAAATTTGTTTTTTTTTCTTTATTATATTTGGAGACCGACTTACATTGCGTTTTCTATTGGGTATAATAAAATGAACTAAATCCAATGGATTATTCATTTTTTTTTTCGATCGATGAAGTAGGAAACAGGCGTAATCGTAGGATCGATCGATTTTTTTTATAACACGGTTCGATCCCGCACAGAAATTTTATTTTAGTAACGCCTTTAGTAATATTACAGTTCCATTTTTTATATTTTTAATTAGTTAATCGTTTTGTTTTTGTAGGCATAAGTAGAACATTTTCATTAGCTATTTTCCGTATCTTGCATAATGAATACATTTTTAACATATAAGTTTCCATAAACAAACATATAAATAGATTTAGGCATCGCTTTAATGGAATATATTTATATACATGTGCGTATTGCAAATATATTTACAGCAAAATATTAAAAATGAATGCTTTTACAGCAAATAATATCAATTATTAATATTATTATGTAAATAATATTACATCAATAATATTGTAATATCATTGTTGTCGGCTTTAAGTCGCTGGCACTTTTTAAATGAAGATGGCTATATTATACGCGATTATACGATGGTTAGCCTTTGCACGATTTACAAAAAAGATGAGATGCGATATAGAGCAACGATTACAATGCACATACCACACATAACACATATGTAATACACACATTATCGTACACCATACATAGTTATGCACATAATATACAAAAATGTAACATACATATGTGTATGTATGTATATGTATAGTGATGGACAAAAATTGTTACATCTCCTCCGCAGTTGTGACGTAACAATTTTTGTTCGTCACTGTATATATAAAATTATACTTATTAGGTTT